AAAAGATTGAATCTCTTGGTCTTGACATCTGAATTTTCTGCTCTTAAAACTTAAATTGTCAGACTGAATGATTAAAAGGTAACTTCTCTTTTTCAATACCATACATTAAGATGCAAACAGTTGATGAGAACACATTATCTGATCAGTTTAATTACATCACCTTGATTCAAACCAAATTCTCTAAAGGTGCTGTTAAGAAAATGTGTAGCAGTTAGAAGGGAGAATTACTAATAAGATCTTGGAGGCGAAGGTTTTAGATTAAGTTTTATTTATTTTGCCCGCAGACTTATATTTATGTCAAACTTTATCGCGGAAATCCTCCTCGATTTTTGAGATTATTTCGATCGTTAATACTCCTATCATTTATTGCAGCAAATTTCCGTAAAATTACCTATGATTTTTTTAGAAAAGTAGAAACATTATCTCTATAGTTTTTTTTAGCTGCTTACCTTTCAAACAACACCTGTCGAGTTTAATGTGTTGATCTTGTGACCAAAGAAACCAAAAGGAAAAAAACTGAAATAACACCTGTGAAAGAAAGATGAATGCAAATAGCAAGTGTCGATAAAAAATAATCACAGAAAATCTCTAAGTTCGTTTAGACTACTGCAATACCAAATCTTCTCTTTTTGGCTGATTACCCTATGTAAAACGTAAAAAGTGCCGAGTTTAGTATCCTGATCGTTTCACGAATGATACTAAAATTATGAAACTTCCTGCAAAACAAAAATGATCGAAATAGCCGGTTTCATAACAATGTTGTTAACCTGATCATGAAAAAAGTAGTAACTACCGATACACTTGGAATAAGGAAGTCGAATCTTTCTCGACTGAGATTGCTTGAGATTCTAAATCCTCTATCATAAAAATTTCACCGAGTTTCGGTCCAAAATATTTTAATTTTCAGATACGAGGAAAGTTCGTCACCTGAGCTTTTTACAACCTCTTACCTTGCCAAAAAATAGACGTGTCTTTTTCGATGTTCTGATCAAATGGCTGTCGGAACCAAAATCAAGAAACTGAAAAAAAAATATTTGTGCATCACAGAAGTTGATAAAGAAAGGCTCGAGTGAATACAAATCAGGACTCTGATTAGCAAAAGATTATAATACTGGTAACAATTAAAACCCTAAAAAGTAACAGCAAATTGCCAGTGTTCGGGCAAAGTGCACATTTAAATCGTAAAGGAACCACCGGAGGACAATGGTTGAAACCATTCTCTCTGCAACTTCCCCATAACTTGATTAAAAACACTGACCAAACCAAGTTTCGGCCCATCTGTCAATATTTTTCAAAATTTCTTCTAAAAGGCTACGACGTGGAATAGTTAAGTCGACGACTTATTTCTTTTTTTTCTTCGGAACTGAACATTTTTTAGCGGATGGGAAGCTTAACTGTACATGAAACCAGTGAGTCCTTCTAAACATTTGAAAAAATTCTCGAGACAAATTTAACGCGGGAACAATCTTCGTTTCCAAGGCTCAGAATCAGCTTGTCGGGCTGATTTCAGGTAGACACGTCCGAAGGAAATTGTGACTAGTGCTAGACAAGTGCTAGCCCTGAAGTTTAATATCGATGTAAATGTCTATAATGTGCAGTGTGTTTGAAAATTATTTTGTCTATCTATTTGCGTTGTGTTTTGAATTATTTGGTGCTATTTGATCACAGATATTCATTCCTTCGCTCGCCTCTAAAGAGTGCGTCTTATTTAGCCTACAATCATCACGTATGATTTTCGATAATCGCCCTCCTTTTTCAATGATAGAATATCGCATGGGAGTTTCGTTATTTTAACTTGTAGCTTCAATAAGTTGCTGCTTCTAAATAAGCCTTTAAAAATGTGAAAATTGTTTAGTATGCACGATTGTCGAATTGTTATGATATGATTACGACGACACGATCGATGTCGGTATTGTATTACAAGCAGATCGATCGTAAGAAACAATCGCTCAACCCTTATCTGCTTGGACGTTTTATTTACCACAAGCTATCTTGTTCTTTACTGGGATTTTGCTTCCCCGTAATATTTAGCGTTGGTATATTAATCCCTATATTGGTAATCCAACGAGTACTCATGTAAAGGCAGAAATACTTAAAGAGGCTTGGAAATATATTGTATCAATAACAAAATTCTTTTGATATTGGACCGATAATACAGCAAATTAATCATCTCACATTGTACTTACCACAATTCGATTTCTGAACGGTCTCTTGTTTTATAAAGTGATACAACCAACTTTAGGAATCAAATTATTACCATATGTCTATCGGTTTTAAAATACTGGTGGCGGACTTAGGCCACCCCTAAAGAGGTGAAATCGTTCCACCCACCCATCCCCCCTTCCTCGTAAAATTTAATATCTGGCTAAACTCATGATATGATTCAACGGAGACCCGGGGGGAGCCCTTACAAAATAAAGTGTTGGAGGGACGCCGTGTGTTCTCTCAAACCTCGAGTTTATTTGTGGCGGTCTTACACGTACGTGACTCTATACGGGAGATCCCCAATAATAGATCACAAACACGTAGGGCCCTTTACCCCTAACATCAGTATCCATATTCTCCTCACTCTTCTCTTTACGTTTCCTTTGGTAGTAACAAGAAGATTTTATTTATGAATCATAGCTCTTAAGTTAGCGATCATTTCCTTTATTCGCATGACCTTAATGAATGATTCAGCGGTATTAATGCGAGGAAAAATCTGATCTGGCTACTCCTAAGGTTTTAAGGGCCGACTATGAACGGTCAGCACATCATCGAAGCATGGTCAATTTATGGTGTCACGCGTTTGTTATGCACGCGTTTCTTTTTCTAGGAGCACAGTTATTAACTGAGTCAGGGGTCGAGTCTCGAGCCGGAGGGGAAAATATCTGGCTCTCGTTTATTACGAAATGAACGCTAGAGATGCGGAATAAGGTGCCATTGTAATGGAAAAACCCAAAGTGCTGTGGTCTGATGTTGCTGGCATAGGCGTACGGGCCGGGGGGGCGGGGGGGGCTGCAGTCCCCCCCAAAATTTTGGGCAATTCAGATTTTTTGGGCAGCAAGAGAAATTTGGGCAAAGCCAGTTTTTAAAGATGTTTTCAAGTTTTTTATTGAAATAGATAGATATTTTCTATTTTTACCTGAATTTAAAAATGGAAAGCCAGTTAAATTCACACGAGAAAGCGGTTGCCTAGCACGTGACGAGCTTCTGGTCATTAGTAAGGGGGGGTTATAAGTTGATATACATATTTCTATTTTTTGTGTTTGTTCTTGGGCATTGTACTGTACTGTACCGCACTGCACTAGCTGGTGTTGTAAATTAATTAGAATCAATTTCCGCATAGCTTTGTAGAATAATATCGTAGATTATCGACTGGAGACTCTCAGAAGATCGGAGTCACGTGCTAGGCAACCACTGTCTCGTGTGAATTTAACTGGCTCTACCATGGGCTTTAAGTGCCTAAAGCCAGTTAAATTTACGCCCGTAGTTTCGTAAAAAGTTACGCGACCGTGGAAACTGTTAAATTCACACGAGACAGCGGTTGCCTAGCACGTGACGAGCTTTTGGTCATTAGTAAAGGGGATCATAAGTTGAAATACGTACTTGTTTTTTTTGTTTTTGGGCACTGTACATACTTTACTGTACTGTACTAGCTGGTGTTGTAAATTTATTAGAATCAATTTCGGCATAGCTTTCTAGAATCATATTGTAGATTATCGACTGGAGACTTTCAGAAGATCTGGGTCACGTGCTAGACAACCACTGTCTCGTGTGAATTTACCTGGCTTTATCATGGGCTTTACGTGCGTAAAGCCAGTGAGATTCACGCCTGTAGTTTCGTAAAAAGTGACGTGACAGTGGAAACAAATACGCATCTTGCATGCATTTTCTTGTAGAACTCTCCTTGTCCCATATTAGACATGTCGAATCCAGCACCACAGAAACGAAAACGGGCCTATCGCCATCGTGTTAAATGCTCCGAATGCAAAAAAGAAATCGTTGCCGAGTACCAAGACGCTCATGCAAGAACCAAGCATATAGGCAAGAAAGTTAAATTAACTATTTCTCGTGCGCCAAATCAATCGCAACTAGGTTTCACTGGCGGCGATGAAACCATTACCAATATGGTTAAATGCAGTAAAATTGACGCCGAAGACGTTGGCTCAGATCTTCAAAATGACAGCCGTATAGATATAGTGGTGGATTCTTCAGATACTGCCCTGGATAAGTCAGAAATCGAGGTGATTCAAGTGAATAATGGTGCTTGTTGTGCTCCAGCTACGTCAGAACCTATGGATGCTGGTATGACGGATGAATCAGAAATCATGGATAAAGGTAATTTGGATACGTCAGAGATCATGGATATGGAAAGCATAGATAATGGTGCCGACAATAGTACTAGTGCTCCATATACGACAGAAATTGTAGATAACTGTGCTTACTCTGACATCGTGCATAGTACTTATAGGGATAAGTCCATTTCAGTTGTCATAGATAATCGTGTTCCAGAAAAGTCACTTAAGTCAGCTATCACGAATAATGGTGCTCCAGGTAAGTCAGATATCGTGGATGGTGCGCACAATTCGTCATTGGATACAAATTTATGTAGTGGTACTTGCCTAACGTCCAGTGATATAGATGAGAGTCCTCAGCAACCGATTTTGAAGTGGTACGACCCAAAAAATTTTGGAAGTGAATTTTTTTCTAGAGATTTAAACCCAGCCTGGTACAAACGATATCCATGGCTGAGCTACGACTTTGAAACTAAGAAAGCGTGCTGCTACCCATGCCAGAAATACTTGAATGCCCACGATTTCACGTTTGACAATTGGAAGAAGCCAGAGCGTCTTACTAAACACCACAAGAGTGAGAACCATCAAATGGCCATGGCGAAATAGATTGATAGTAGAGCAAATAAGAAGATAAATACTTCAATACTGAGCAAACTCCAGAAATCACACAAGCAAGATGTGAAGGAAAATCGTGACTACCTGAAAGTTATCATTGAATGTCTC